GTTTCTAAAGGTCTTGAAAGAGATGCTGACGTAAACTCTAACAAGCGTCTGTACATGTACAACCTAAATAATGAATTCGGTTTATTATACATAAATACAGCGTATTTCTAATATTACGGGTCGTTATTAAATGAGTTATATTTTTTTTCTGCGGCTGATATGAGACTTGAGCAGAATTCCTTCCTGTTTATTATTAAAAGACATGCTTGGTTGGTGTGATTTTTGGGGGGCTAACTGTTGGGTTTATGGGTTTGAATTTCAGGGTCATATTATCATTATTATAGTTCAGAAGGGCATGGTAAAATCATTGGGTGTCTGCCAGCTTACAACGGATCTGTCTTGGTTGGGTGATCAAACTCTGTATATCTGGTATGGAGCAAAATCTTAAACCACATGTATTTCTTTCAACGGAATAAGATACGAAGGAAAATTGAATCTGTTATATCAAAAAGTATCGAACCACTTTTGTCAGATTTCGATTACTTTGAATGTCGTTACGCGATATGTGTTTCTGAACACCAATTAAGTGACGCGGAACACCATTTAGACGTACTTCATTCCACAGAATAAACAATCATATACGTTTTAACCGCACGTTTCGATGACGTAGGTCATAGCGGTAAAGGTTGTAACGGACCTCTGGGTCGGAGTGTTATTTAATATTGCTGTAATATGTATGCACTTTGCATGCTTCTAGCGCATTCGTCTCGCATTGTTTGCGTCGTTTATATTCAAACACGATAGCAATCGTCTGTACCGCTGTAAGATAGTAATATCGTGACCAAAAATGTATTATTGTGATAGATAACCAAAATGTCTACTATACCTACACCTGTTCCCTATACCAGGCTATACTAGTATAGAGGGCAGCATTACATATATACTACAAACGAAAGCCGTCACGTAACGTACAACACGGCGGCGCCCTCTTCGACGCTCATTGCATTAACGTTGTACACTAGATCAACCCAAAGCTGTTGGGAGCAGGCAATAAAGATATAAGTATGGAACTATGTACAAATAAAGGAACGTCCACCAGTAACACAGTATGCAAAAAAAAGAAAAATACCATACTTCAGCAGAACGATATATAATACATCCCTCCTTTGGGGCTCAGTTGTTTAAAAACATCGTAATTTCGATTTAAAAGAACAAGTGGGAAAATGAAGCAAACAGAAAATAAACAGTATTGAATATTTGCTATTTTCATCTTTTAAGGATCCCCGTATCATCGCCAAAACCTGCAACTACGCATTGGAAACTGCTGTTTCCGACATGACTAAATCTCTAGTAAATCACTTATGAAAAGCAAACCATATCTTGTGGGGCATTTATAAAATAAAATAAAATAAAGGTTAGATATTGGAGAAGGGAAACAAGTATCAAAAACAATCTTCTTTGAGTGACAATATATAGGGGCTAGACCAGGGTTCGAATCCTGGATCTCAAATTGTACAGCAAATCTATCCGACTGCGTTAGTTGGTTAACTGAAGTATCCAAGTACTATAGTTATATAGGGAACGGGAGTTTACTGTATTAAAAAGACAGGGTGAATTGGAACAGTCATACCTGAATACTCTTTTTAAATCTTATTAACGACTCGTTAAATTGACCAGGCATCAAAAATTAAGTTAATGAAACATTTGTGTGATACGTTTTTTACAGCACACGATAATAATGCCACATTCTTGCGTTTCTCATGTGTCTTAAACTATGTCTCTAAATTAAGTAATCAGTAACGATTACAAATCTAGAAACATACGCCATTCAGACATCTTGAGACTTACATCGCCCACAACGGTACCTAAGTAAACGAGGCATCTTTGTAGTTACAAGCGATGTAAGGGTTTGCTATTATCACATATAGGGAAAGTCGTACTCACCACTCAACATTATCATTTGAAGTAAGGTTTGAAGATAATATTTACATCATCATCCCGGTTGTGGGTGATTCTATGACAGTATATCAGTTCTGGAAGTACGTATGCCATGAGTCAGTTCGCCACTACTGATACCTAGGTCAGAGCCCTTACAAAATCCAAATATAAATACAGTTCATACTCACAAAGGCTTAGCACTCTTTAAGCTCAGTTGATGCGTTGAAGTTTTTTCTCCTTAAACCTTATTTATAATACACTTCAATATATATTGCCTCCTAAATCTGTCTGTTTATGTGTTGTGACTACCCCAGGGGTGCGGTAACATTTGGTACTGTGTCACCATAAACAACGCTTCAGGACTCTCAGACTCCTACTCAGGACACAATGACATTAGTCGCAATGGCGGACGTGGTGTTGACATAAACATATTCAAAGCTCGCTTCTGAACAGTACGGGAATGAGAAAGAAATCGGGAAGGCAGGCACCAGGGACTAAAATGTTCAGTCGGACATTTGATCTGGAACAGCTCCGCCGAACAAGGAACCCAATGACTGGGTTTACGTTTACGTCCTGTTCGGGACGATAAGATGCCACTGCAACTGTGACATAATCTGCACGGAGAGTAACCAGATTTAATGGACAAAAAAGATGAAATGGTTGTTGATCATTTTGATGTTTAAATGTCAGAAACTAATGGTCTGCAACCAATGTGCAAGACACGCAAAGTAAATGGATATGTGAGTCATTTTGATGTTTTACAAATACCTTTTGATGTTATTTATTGCCGACACATTATAATTAAAATATATTTAGAGATAATTAGAAAACAAAGCAATGTGTTATAAAATGAGGAACTAAGTTTTGGTTTCCATGTGAATGTCACCGATAACGACTTACGTACTGAGATTGATTTGATAAGATAAATATGACAACATCAAATGCTAACAACAGCAGAAAGTATTCGTAATGACTGCAGGGTATTTGTACACTGATATTCAAATTCAAAACTCTTTGAGTATTTTGAATTATTTTAGTAGTTAACATACGGTTCCATGAATATTAATTCTAAGATTTATTTGAGTACTCATCTGTTAAGATATGTAAATGCTCATTTTCTTTCCTGTACATTTTATTTCCATTGAATTTCCTCTATATAGATAGATTGCTCATCCTTTTAGACGCTAACTTAAAAAAAATACTTTCAGTTCTCTAGGATTCTTACTGATCTCACGTACTTATGATATAACCATGCTGAATATAATTGTGCCGTGTCCAGGTCAATACATTTCAATGCGATTGGACTTTGTTTTGTGACAGAGTGAACCCATAAGCTGTGGTCATCGTCTTAGTATGACTTTGGCTGTTGTGATAACGTAAACCCATTGACAAAATAAAATAGATAAAACACACATGTATTCGTTTGTCGACTTAATTATTTGGGATATTCGTTTTTAGTATATACACTTATTTTGATATATGAAATGTTAGATGTTGTTTAAGCCCTCACATTACTAATATTGGACCATTATTGATGTATGTGAGAATGAACTGATAGTAGAGTGACTATTTACCTAGAGTACTTTGATATTGTTGAGGTTTCAAGACCACTTATAATCAGACATAAGGAACAATGTATTTACTTAGTATTCCGTCTTTGCGTATTGCAGAGTTATCTTCTCTTGGGAACAGGTTTTGATTGTTAGGTCACTTGTTTGTGAGAGGAACGTCATCAATTTTTGAGAAAACGACGTAATTTTCTCACACAAACCAATGACGTAACAATCAATACCTGCCCCCAAGAGAAGATAACTCTGCAATACGCAAAGACGGAATAATGTATGTGTAAAAGGTACTGGTTGTGGAAGAACTCAGCGCTAATGTTCTGTAAGTTCCTGTTTTGGATACTCATCATTAGAGTTATTTGAATAAGTAATTGTCGTTTTAAATTGATGAATTTATGTCTTTAAGTGCCATATTGCAATAGCACTGTTTATCGATGAGTGTTGTAAATGACAATTATATTACAGCTCATTAGTCACGGAACTGACAGTAAAACTAATAGGTGCTGGTCCGTTCTCAAATATAATATGATAATGCTTTCTCTACATATCATCGACAGAAAAACTGTCAAATCTAATGCGCTTTGTAAACATGGTAGTTCCAATTGACATGGCATCTATGACATCCCGTTAAATCTATGAAGTCATAAAGTGAGAAAACATACGTAGCAATTGGTAACATTCCTGTTAATATCTCTATTTATATTTTTTGACGGTATTCATGGTTATCGAGGTTTTTATGGACTCAACATGACGAGGAAGTCAAACAAATAAGCTCGGAGAAATGCCGTTCTTAATTGTATATTGTTATGACAGTTTTAGTGAAATCTTAGAAGCCGTATGCATGTTACATATTTCTATGTATTAACATTTAGAACACCCGACTTTATTGAACTGAAATTAGAAACAGTGTGTTTTACATACACAAGGGGAAATAACGGAGTGTTTACGACTATTCACCCTCAAATTAAATAAAGATTTACTTCCGGCATCTTGACTGATTTTTAATAGCACTCCCATGTATCTACGTGTAACTACGGCTAAACTCATCCCAGACGTAGCAGGGGTCTTAGTTTTTAATAACTACATGTAAGATTGAGACATAAACAATAAAGTCTCACGTTCGTTATTAATTTGCAAGATGATATATCATATGGTTTCATTACATTGATGTAATAATTAATAAATAAGGTATGAATTTTCCCTATATAATTGTAAACGTAATTAAACGTTAATTGGATTTTAGAGAAAACACGTTGCTAAACACCATGTATTATAAACATGAGCAGCTGAACGATAGTACATTCAGCGAAGCACTTTACCTACTTGTGGTAATTTAAACCAATTATAATTTCCCTATTTAGGTGCAAGTCTTCTTGAAGTAACTGAAATTGTATTTGGTTCAGAAATAATTCGATGTTTGAGTTTTCTTTATTTATTTATGCATTTATTTAAGATTGGCAACATCCACACTAATTAGATGAAATGTTGATATTCCATTCTTTAAAATTTAATTCATGGAAAAAACATAATTTTTCGTTCTGTCTTATTTCATTTCAGATTATTTGAAACTCATCCTGACGTACAAGACGTTTTCATGCCATTCAAGGGACAATCAAAGGAAGACCTATCCCACAGCTCACAGCTCAAGGCGCATGCGCTCAGGGTGATGAATACTGTGGAGAAATGTCTCGGGCAAATGAATGAACCTGCAAAGTTACAGGAAATGCTCCATGACCTTGGCACGCGCCACGTCATGTACAGTGCCAAGGTGGATTATATCGACGTGAGTACTGTGAAACAACCCGGTCGTGCATGGTCATTATCATTACTGTATGATGTAACTGTATAAGTATAAGATTTTTTTTTTTAGATTTTTTTTTTTTTTTTAGAATTATTTTTTTTTTATGTCGTTTTCTGTCAGAAGTGATGTGAGTCTGTGTGATTTTTTTGTATAAAACTAATAAGACAGTTTGACGTGTTTCGTGTAAAGGACCAATTTTCAATTTCCCCAGATTGTGTGAAAAACTAAATTACAAAATAAGGGTCATAAACATTGACAAATGCCAGTCTTGATAAATGATAAAGAAAGGCGGTCGTGAGACAAACTTGGGAGAGTTTGATGACAATGATTCCGTGTAGTGGTGTGACGGACGCTTACAGTAAAAACCTTAATCCCTTGTACCAATAAATCGACATATCGAGTGTAACATGATGTAGACACGTGTGGTTGTAGAGAGACATACTTAAACAAAAGGTTTCAGGCAAGTTCTTTTGTAAGCGATCGCTTTAAACGTGAAATTCATCAAACCATCTGTTTGTGAGCTAGTTAGACGTTAGTATTTTCATCTTATAACCTGACCAAAATAGAAAACTATTCCAGAAATAAAAGCATTTTGACATTTCATTTTAAAAGTTATGAAAAATATTATTTTAGGTCCTTTGCAATTTTGTTTCATATGACGTACCTGCAATTTGAATGTTTTTTGTTATACTCGTTTAAAATAATCACTTTGCAGTCGAGTTTTAGAAACATCACGATAAACCGGAAAAACGCTAAAATCGATAATTTGACGGCGTGGAAAAATCACACGCGTATATTGGTAACGCCGGAGACACATTTCTTTACAGAACGAAATTAGTTAAATGGTTTTATTTCTGTAATTATTGTGGCTCGGTATACTTCTGTTCTACTGGAAGGCTTTTTACGTTTCCTTCTCACGGTTAATGCAGCAACGATAACTTACACTTAATTTAACACGGAAATAGCTCTATATTAAGAATACGACGTTCTTTCATTAAAATCACAAAGAAGAATGATGCCCTTAATTCATGCATTGACATTTAAAGTTATTTTTTTAGAAAATAGAACAGGCCTTACGTCACCAACGATGAAATGATGTTGATAAATTAAAAAACAACAACAGAAAAACATCAAGTAAGAAGCGTAGGCCTCGTGTTGTAAGCGACATGCTGTATAATTGTAGTGACTGTTGACCATTAGAAAAGACATTAGAATTCAATAATTATGGGGCTTGACGTAAGCGCATTGTATTTGAAACTTCTTGTTGATATGCGAATAATTGCTTCAACCTTGTGAAGTAACCATTAGACTATACATACTTAATGAAAGTTTAACGTTACATTGTAAATGTAGGATTTTTCTTTTTCTTTTGTTCGTTAAGTAGGAGTCTGTATTTATTACAACAACTTTCGTTTGATTAGAAAAATAAGATATATGTAGAAATTTAAATGTGGTTTACCTGACCTCTCTGACAACTCTATCTATCATCAGGAATGATCAGTTCCTTCCTACATTGTGACCAGCAGAGACAGTGAGTTGTAACCTGTCAAGAACAGTGATCTCAGTCGTTGGTCGTTGGGAGATACGGGTTCGTTGGTTGTGGAGAGGCTCTCGGCATGGCCACTTTGCCTGTCTGTGACCCCACGGCTCTATCTAGGGCGGGAAAACGGTCTCCTTCAAACCCCCTGGTCCAGGTGTGGATGCAACCAAACACCACTAACATGACAGGCCACTGTCATCTTCAAAAGTCAAGGTCGTTTCTGTATTATGTAATCGCGTGTAACGTCAACGAATACTGTGAAACTCGTCACTGTATATTCACATCTGAAACATTACATTTAAAGTATTTTAAAACAAGTTTTTGCAACAATTTATCAACAACGTCAAACGTATGTGTTTTTGTCTATTGGAGCCTTTGCATGAAAGGATATAAATACAGGGGTGCAAGATTCTGTCGTCGTGTAAGCATTTCCTTGAAGACCAGCGACAACGACATTGCATAATCCGGTGACAACAATTGCTTTTAGGCAAATATACATTTAATATTACACTGTAGGCCGCTAGGAATTGTTTTGAATGAAATCGATTTGCTCGACTCTTGAGACAAGTCTCTGGTAAATTGGGCTAACCGTAACACGACTGATTTGGTTTAAGCGGACACGCCGGCGTACGACCATTATTGGTAAAGCGAACCAATAATAGGTAAAAGCAGACATGCAAGCTCTATCGCATGGCTACGTTTGTCGCTCCGACATGTTTATGTGACTTGTACGGCACACAGCGGAAACTCTAATGAAAACGAGTATGTTTAGACTCTGACCTCGTCTGTCCGTTATAGACAATCTGTGCCGTAATTCCGGGGCTGGGGTTGCTGGTCTGGGTCCGTCTGTCACTCTGGTGTCGCTATAAGATGGCCAGCCGTCAATCCAGTGGGCCGGTTAATGTGTTTGTAGGCATGCGCAACGGACCGAACAGTTCCTTAACGTCATCACGTGCGCACAGTGATGTTTTTGTATGCCTTTAGCATGCCATTTTGCTGAACGTTTTGATATCCTAAGGGAGCAGTCATGTGATAAATTAATCTTGTATGGAGTTGGTCCTAATTCCTTAACTCGTTCACAGGAAAGATCCTCGGTTTTGTGCATCCGTTTACGTATGAGCAGGGATTATAATCGCGAATGATTTTATACATTAAACGTAAAAACTCATTTCTATTAGAAAATTATCTACCTAACTGTGCAATGCACGAAATATTTTGTTATTACTAAAATGGTGTAGTTCAGGCTTGGGTCATAACCAGATCACAAAACAACAGCCGAACCCAAGCATAAGTCAGGCGGCATGATAAGTACAGAAACGCGCTTCCATTATCGGGAATCGTGTGTGGGCGGATGTGTTTTTGTGTGTAAACCAACAGAAATATCATTTGTATCATGATTCGTTTTTGTAGACAGATGAACACATGTTCAAGTTATATGAGAGGTAGTGTTATAAAGTGTGATATATTGTAAAACCACCACATCATTTGTTTTTGTAAATGAAACATGTATCTACGTTTTATGTAGCTTGTTTATACGTATTACGTAGTTTGTGTAAACGTATTATGTCGCTTGTATGTAGTTTGTGTTAACGTATTATGTCGCTTGTATGTAGTTTTTATAAACGTATTATGTCGCTTGTATGTAACTTGTCTAAACGTATTATGTCGCTTGTATGTAGTTTGTGATAACGTATTATGTCGCTTGTATGTAGTTTGCGTTAACGTATTATGTCGCTTGTATGTAGCTTGTGTTACCGTATTATGTCGCTTGTATCTAGTTTGTATAAACGTATTATGTCGCTTGTATGTAGCTTGTGTTAACGTATTATTTCGCTTGTATATAGGTTGTATAAACGTATTATGTCGCTTGTATGTAGTTTGTGTAATGTATTATGTCGCTTGTATGTAGTTTGTGTAAATGTATTATGTCGCTTGTATGTAACTTGTGTATACTTAGTATATGTAGCATGTGTTCACGCATACCATGTATGTAGCTAGTTTATAGGTATTACATTGTATGTACACGTAGCCTGTGTATGCGTACATTGTAGCTTTTGTATACGTTATGTATACATTATAGTTTGTGTATTCATTTAACATAGCTACGTATAATGTAGTTTGGGTCAGAGAAGTAATATTTATTGTATATTCCCGAATAACACTGGATCCTTACAAAAGTATGTTTGAAGCGTATGTATACGTACTACAGTGAATATAGATGGAGTATACGTATTGTGTAGCATGTGTATAGGTACTATTAAGCATGTGTATATGTATTATGTTAAATAGGTATGCTTAGTTTGAAATCCTGTCATTTCGTAGAAAGATTCGGTGACGTAATTTATTGAAAAAAAATAACCTTCTGATGATTCCATTAGAGAGTGTCATTAAATTTGAAACAAAGAAAAATTCGTCTGCGTTTCATGAATTTTCTTTCATATAAATTGAAAATATCATATTTTAAAAAAGAACATGAAATGGAGCGTCAGTTTAGATCCTCTTTGCTAGGTCTAGATGGATTTATATCTGTATCTATTAACACAATGACGATGTATCAAACCTCGTTTCGTTTATAACACATTGACTATATTGTAACATAGCATAGACTCATAGGTTATATTTACATCTAATCTCGGCTATAATAAAATATACATGTTTTGTCAATCAAATTTGCGCACCCTTAATAAAAAATATATATATATATAGTGACCTCTAACAAAAGTTTTTATACTCGATACACAACTGAAGCTAGTGCTCTTTCAACTTCATATTAACGACAGATACTCAATAAATCAACCCTGTTATTTTCCAGCTTATCGGACCCCAATTTATCTGGGCTATCCAGAGTTCCGTCGGGGACCAGTGGACACCGGAAGTGGAACAAGCCTGGTCGGACCTCTTCAAACTCATATCACATTACATGAAGGCAGCCATGGTATTCTGATTTACCCGAGTCAAAACGAGGCGACGTCAATCAGATCTCCAACAAAACGGAAGTACATATTGTATTACAGTGTTGTATCAATTGTTATGAGGTTTTTAGATACAATAGCGTTGCTATTACATTACTTTAAGTCTCTTGCACAGGTAGATGATGATAATCTTATCCGAGCTTTAGCAAAATGTGCAGAACATTTAGACGTAGTCATTCGTCCGAAAAACTCCAGGCATGTGTACTTCCAACAGTAACCTGTTACATTACGTATCGTCTGCCCATCCTCTTTTCAGGTTTCTGTAGTCATAAAAAAAATCATATATATTCACACAGTAAGCGAACAGTGAACGCCGGAAGTAAAGCAGGTGTGTGGGAAGTGAAAGGTTTGGTCGACCTACAGGTAGGCGCTGACATTATCAGGTATAACGAGATTCACTGAACATTATCAAAATAAGGATTTCACAAAGGACTTATATCAATATTGTTGTACATAGAAGAGTAGAATAATATGGACTGTGACTTAAACGTTTGAGAACGGACCAAATCAACGGGTTTTTCATGAAAGACTTCTCAATATTTTTGACTGAAAGCATTACTTTATCATTGTACACAATAAATCAAATATCACATCATAAATTGTGTCCTGTAAAACTTTTTGGTTTGCCTGTGCATTACGTCCCATTAACCGATATGGTCATTTAAGGACGAGATAGGTTTGGATAGTGGAAGGACACCGGAGTACCCATAGAAAAACTACGACCCACGGACAATACCTGGCGACAGCCCAAATTAAGCCTCGAAATTGCGACCCAGTGGCGGAGGGGTAGTGCTCGTAGGCTGTCAGATACTTTAATTACTCGGCCACTGTGGTCCCATCTTAGGAACAGGAAATCAACTCACCTCATAGTCTTATATCCTTAAATAAAAAAAAAATAAAAAAAAATGTGACTTAACTTATACACCATCAATTTTAGTCCTCTTTTGTGAACAAAAAGCATTTTTCAACAGAGAAATACACATTTAAAACAAATGAACAATATCCATATTTGCATGTTTGTTTCCTAGAAATAATGTGAATATTCAATTACTGAAAAACATGAGTGAGTTTTCTTTCACTTTTGCTTATTTTTACAGTCTTTTCGACTTATTTTCAAAGTGTAAATCTTTCTACCCATAGAACTAACACGTTTTCTAAGAATTACAGAAAACTCCCTCCCAATAGCTGTCTATAAAGAAGCTTAGAACTTATTCTCCATTTTTATTGATTGTTTTGCAATAATTTACTCTTTTCCAATTTTTTTTTAAAGCAGAAATAGTGTATCGGAATTTATTATGTATAAAAATAAGTGAAATGTTTATAATTGTTGAAAAAAGAATTTATGACATCTTTGATCAATGTTAGCTCTGTCACTTTTTGGTGTTATACAGGGAGGTCTACTTTGCTCATGGTTGGTAGTACAGATCTAAATCAGCAACTATTGTCCATAAAAACACAGTTATGAATTTAATGTTATGTACACGTAAGAACCAAATATTGACGTCACCGTTATGATAATATTGCTATAATTTTGAACCCTAGACTTTTCAAATGTAAGCATCTTTCCCCTCAACAACTCTATAAATACGAACAGCCAGAGAAATGAATGAAAGCTTATGTTTTCTTTTGTATTTTAACCAGAACCCAGCAATGATCACAGTAAAATTGTAGCTGGGAGTGTCACCATCGGTAGAATATAATGTGTAGCGTTTAGCATGCGACTGACAATTAACTACTTGATATTCAAAAATGAGTTTGTCATTTTGATATTTAATCTTTGGTCAATCTTTACTTTGTAAAGAAACAAGAAACATTGTTTGCAGATTTTGGGATATTTGTTGAGTTTTTAATTACAAAATATTTTTACATTATTTTCACTTTTGCATATCCGTTAAACTCAAATTGGGTTTAAATTTTAATACTTTGGCATTTCACATACTAATTAAAACTTTACTTTTTGAAATATAACAATGGTGACTGTTATCATGTAAACCTCGGTTTACATAATATCACAAAATGTGAAAAACCAGTTAAAACCCTTGACTAATGAAACAATACTTTCCTGATGAAAATGATGACAAAGAATTTTAATTTTGTAATGATCTTCGCACAGTTGTCTGGTCATAAATAGGGAACCTCGTTTTAAGAATGAATTGTGAAAGGAAGTGATGGTGTTACCAAAATACATTCAAACTCCGTATACTACTAGTTATGTAGAACACATGGATCAACCAATATTTATGACACGTATTTATATCTTTAATCTTCAAATCAACATTTGTCAAGAACTTGTGTAAGTTTTTAGTTTTCATGCGTAACATAAATACACGAATATTTAATAGGAAAACAAGTTAAACCTCTGACCTGCCCAGGCCTCGAAGTCACGATGGACGGCACCGAGTTGCCTGCATAAACGATTCGGAGCTCAAGCATAAGTGGGCAACAGTTCTTGTACACGTACATGTATGTAATACCACGAGATGCCGGCCTTTTAAAAGCTATTATCTGTGTCAGCGATTCTTTTCAAAAGTGACATGGATAACGGTGACGGTTCTTGTCTGACACAGTCAACCATCAAAGGAATGGTATTACCGTTTCCCTTCAAACGCTATTCATTTCCGAAAAGCTATCTACAATCTGTACTTTCTGTTCTCCATGTTGTTTGACATATCTATCTCTCTTGTCGTGATAGACTATGATATGTCAAACGTGGTTGTGACTAAGACTGCCCATACACGTGATGCAAGTTCCGTCGCCATGTCAACATGTGTGTGTTTAATAGAAGAGACAATGTGATCAGTCGTCTCGTTGTGATATTGATGTCCCATTCACGACCAGTCAAACTACCAATCACACTATAGTTAGGATTTTCTTCTCATTGATTTACGAAATAATCAATTATTGTCTTTTCCGTTTCGAGTAGGGTTTCTCGAAAAACACAATAATATATCTAAATCATTCACTCTAAACAAACATATCTTTATCCTAACTACCTTTTTTATTGCTGTTTGTTCTGGGTAGTCGCACTTTTCTGTTCGTTAAAATGTTATTTATAAGGCAATTAAGGTCTAACATTTCGTTTTATTGCACAAGCAAGAACAATATAACTGTTCACCTTTTCTATTTCACTGGACGTTATCAGTACAGCTATATTTAGTGTCTACTTTTTCAGAAAATGTTTGATGGTGTGTCCGTAGGTTTTGAGTTTTGAAATAAGCTGAACACCTTTGACATTACGACAAGATCTCTTAAGATGAGCGCTGATCTAAACTTTCTCATACAACGTAGAACATCAAGACTACAAACATCTTTTTAATTAGGTTAGAGTTCGGAGAAATCGTTATACCGTTTTCATGGAAGAAATATTTCAGTTATCGCTTTTTTCAGATTGAGGCAAACAAATAGTCTTAATATTGTGTATGTCAAGCAAAATGATGAAATGCATTTGATATTGATGGCATTATGACGTTTGGCATGCGCACACAGTTCTACACCCCATTCTCCAGCTAAATTGGTCGTGACATTCCTATGTTGTGTCGCAGCCGAAGTGCTTTTCTTTAACTACAATGTATCGAAATGAACCGACCCGTGATTTGCAGTCAGTTTCACTATTCATCCAATAAAAACGGCCGCTTGTCAACTGGCGTAGAGTTATGGTAAATTTATTAATATCGCCAGTTTCACAAAGACAGCAAGCGCTGAGAAGTGTACTACTGGGGTTGACATATTGGCGTATTCCTGACAGGACATTCCCAGTACACATAATGGGAATACGGTGGGATTAACTTGTAGGGGACACCTCGGTCCATTTAATGGAGCAATAGTGCTCGACCCGTGATATACAAGAGATGATAATAGGAACGTGCACTTTTAACCAGTTAAAGTAGGTTGAATTATAAATAAATAATATCTCTTAAAGGATGTACACTGCGTGTCAGCTGAATACTTGTCGATATTCATCAGAGAGTGCAATAATAAACCATTTGCAGCTCAGATACATGCACTGAAATAATGTCAGCGATCCTATCCATTGCAGAAAGACCTTTGCGTATTTGAAAGGACAATAGCGCAGATAAACAGTACAAAAAGGTTACTTAGACGGGAATAACAAAACATAGAAAGCTTAAAACTGATAAAACTCGACAAAAATCAGTTTACAGTTTTCCAATCTTGGTTGTTTCCTTTTACAGACATGCACTGCAATTTCGGAGCATTGTCCTTTCAAATGCATAAAAGTCATCATCCAACAGATTAAACACGCTTCCACTATTCTGACACGCCGTTTAACCATGTTTGTGTCGTTAAAATTAAAGACAATGCAAGGATTTTGATATTTGACATCATCCTAAATTTTTCTTCCTAAAACATGAAGATACCATTAAAACATATACCCAGACAGTAAAACAATACACATTAAAACCTATAGAAATGTACAAAGACATAATGTATCATTTATATATAAATCCAGGCGGAAACATTATCACATCATTTATACCTATACAAATGTAGGGAGAGATACAATGCACCCTTAAATTATGTACCCAAGTAGTAACACATCACACCATTAAAACCTATAAAAATGTACTGAGAAATGCCATGTACCATTAAAATCTGTACACAGGCAGTAACATATCACACCATTAAAACATTTATAAATGTACTGAGAAATGCCATGTACCATTAAAATCTGTACAAAGGCAGTAATATATCACACCATTAAAACCTATATAAATGTACTGAGAAATGCCATGTACCATTAAAATCGGTACACATGCAGTAACATATCACACCATTAAAACCTATATAAATGTACTGAGAGATGCAATGCACCATTAAATTATGTACCCATGTAGTAACACATCACACCATTAAAACCTATAAAAATGTACTGAGAAATGCCATGAACCATTAAAATCTGTACACAGGCAGTAACATATCACACCGTTAAAACCTATAAAAATGTACTGAGAAATACAATGCACCATTAAATTATGTACCCAAGTAGTAACACATCACACCATTAAAACCTATAAAAATGTACTGAGAAATGCCATGTACCATTAAAATCTGTACACAGGCAGTAACATATCACACCATTAAAACCTATATAAATGTACTGATTTAAATGTAACATTCCACAGCTGATATTCTCTGTGTTACGTTGGAACTTTTTTACAGCAAATACACAACTCAAATACAAGACCAGTCGTACCAGCTGTATCAATGCGTACCAGTATAATGTGAAGTTATCCTTCCTGGGAAGGATGCTGATTGTTGATCGTTTCACACCACGGCTACTACGCATTGAAAATCTTCAGTTTACCGCCATGAGAAGTATATCTTTATCATGTATTTTGCCTTATATGCATGTGATACTAGGTGCAAGTTGTAACTTAAGCATAAACCTGCAAAAAGCTGTAAAAAGCATATTTTTATGTCAGTTAGTTCTTACTATATGTCACAGTGGCGGACCCAGGGGTGTTGCCCTAGTTGCCCGGGCAACACCCTTTTTTCTGTGTTCAAAAATAATCTGGACTTAGGTTTTTGAAAATTTTCCTCTTTTTCATATGGGATTTTCTTCTAATAAATGTATCAACCA